TACGAGGTGTATGCTGGCGCTGTTGCTTATTAATGGTGTTGCACGCAAGGAGGTGTGTGTTACAGAATGTGTAGGTTTGCCGTGAACGATAGGTTATCGTTTGTTCAACAATGAGCAAACAAATTTGGGGCATCAAGTCAATTCTGAGAGGCTATATTTTCCAAACAATTGTGATATGTGGCGACGCCAAGGCTTGTAAAGACCTTCGGAAGCGTTGTACGCTTCGTACACGCTTCGAAAGTATATAGTCTGACGGTCCCCCGGACCCTTCGAAATAGGACAAGTCCTCCGTAAAATCACATAACGACGTAGTATTCGCACGTGACAGGTGAACCCCCATTGTGTGATTTTACGGAGGACTTGTCCTATTTCGAAGGGTCCGGGGGACCGTCAGACTATATACTTTCGAAGCGTGTACGAAGCGTACAACGCTTCCGAAGGTCTTTACAAGCCTTGGCGTCGCCACATATCACATCCTCCCCTATCTAGCCTCGAATGCCCGCATTCAGCCTTGTCAGTTGTAGAAACAATCCCATCTTCGACGCCAGGCTTCGAATGGCTATATATGGAGTAAATATATGGGCGCCGCAATGCAAATGTCCCTTCTCGATTGCTTTCGGTATCATTCCCCTTGCGAAATAGACGGTGCGGGAATGGAGTGAATGGGTGTCGGTGGTATTTTCACATGCCAGCTTCCATAGCGACTAAGTGAAGAAATTCCCATAGGAAAGGTAAGGATTTCGACGGGGGAAGGTGTCGTTGCCGTGTAAACGCGGGCCTCTTTTCCAGTGGTTTCCGTTTGTTGTGATTCGAAAGTTCTTCACTGTCGATAAGTATTCCCCTTCCTACTCCTACACTCTTTTCTTCTCTTCTATCGCACATCAGCGATTTCTTCTTCTTTGTCCATACCCCTTCGAGATCTTATCCTTTTCTTCAACTTCGAACGATCTTGCATCATGGTGAGTAGGATTCGAAACGTCGTCGCGGGTTTGACTTGGTAACACAGCTGCATAGTCTGTCCACACGCCTATCGTCCAAGCACCGGGACCGGGTGCATTGGCATCAGGATCGTTGGGCGGTGGTGGAGGCGGTGATGATCCGTCCCATCGCCCTACGAGCTTCCTGCGTGGTTGTCAAATCCCGTCGACAAGCCACTATGAGCGTATTGTGAGGCGAATTCGAGAGTTGGCGAGTAATGTGAAAGCGAAATCAGCATCATTAACAGTAAGTCGTGTTTTCGATGTTCCCGCAGGGAAGTCGTTCTGACGTGTTTTCGAAGGATTATGGAAGTCGAAACCGGGTGGCCAAAGGTGTGCAGTTCTATGACTGGTCCCGCTGGCAGCAGGAATTGGTGGATGGCGTTCTTTTCGAAAATGCAACACCTGGTGTCCGAGAGTTCGAAAACCTTTCCCTCCGACGTCCTTTGGAATATTATGGTGATCGTGATTTCATGAATGAAGTGCAGTTTCTCGGAGCGTTGGGATACACCATGGGTCAAGTCGTCAATAACCCTCCTTGTTCGAAGTGTGAGGCAGGCGTGACAGGTCGCAACCAGACGGAACCCGTCTTCCCAGAGTGCGTTTCGGTCATGGCACGGGATGACATGGATCCTCACAGTGCTTCGACACGATGGTTGTTGGCTGGTCATTGCGCAACTTGCGCTCTTCGAGGCCAGAAGTGTTCCCTTCAGCGCGTGCATCGAAATTCGCAAGCATCATCTCAACGCGGTGCTGTGAAGCGTGAGGTGAAGCAAGATTCTGGTGGTGGTTTCGATACACCGCCGGTCCGCCGGGTGCAGCATGGTTTCGAGGTGCCCGATGATGAAGAGGTACCGCGTCGTGGCACGAAGGAAGTGGGGTTTGGTGGTCGTCATCGAGGGATTTTCTCGCCTGGAGCTGAAGATCGGTATCCTGAGATGATTGTTCGAGGCCCGAGTGGTGAGCCACTGTTCATTCAGATGCCGGACGTGGACTACAGCAATGCTCAGGTTCGAAATGCCATCCTTCAACAATTGGCATACATCAGCGGCCAACTGTTTCGAAATCCAAATGTGAGTCTCAGATCTCCGACAGGATTTCAATGGCAAGCCTCGAGTGAGCCTAACCGTCGTTCTGCTGGTCGGTCCTTCGACCCTGCTCCTGCGTTGACTCCGCCACGACGAGAGTCCGTGTATGAACCGGGTTCGATGGCAGCACAGGCCATGGAGAATATGGAGCGAGAGGCAAGTCAATCGAGAAGTCGTCAAGGAACTACGACTCCAGGTCCTTGGGACATGCGAGACTCGAACGCTGGCTTAGCGTCGAGCCCGATGGCATCCTCTCAGGCATTCGGTGGCCAACGTGTTCAACGGTCCATCGAAAGTGGTGCTCAACATGGTGGTGTTCAACGTGGTGGTTCTCAGCGTGGTGGTTCTCAGCGTGGTGGTTCTCAGCGTGGTGGTTCTCTTCAGTCGCCTCGAGGCCGTGGCAGTTCGACGCACGGTCTTTCTCCTCGAGGGCAGCGAGGTGGTGCTTCATTTTCGAATGACAGTCGAGATTCGTACAATCTGCGAAAGCGTTGATGCATATGGGGTTGGTATCGAATTCGAAGATGATGAGGTTGCAGAATCTGCTTTGGTTCAGATCCTTCATGGATGGGTGAGAGACTTTTCGGCGGTTGGGAGTTCGATGCGGATGTGCATGCAGGACACTTCGAAGATGCAGCCGCGGAGGGGTGAGACCCTGAATGGCACGTCGACTCTTTCTTCCTTAGGTAGAAAATCCCAAAAAGTGTCAGATCACAGATCCTTAATCAGTTTTCGACGTGGATTCGGTCGTAGGAATCTTCCCTCAACATATCGAATATGTTGTGGTGGCTGTTCTTGTGTCTGCATCACCGTCGAGACGGTATTTCCATCCGATTCCCAATCCATTTCTTCGCCTAGTACTTCACCAGATGTATTGTGTTCTGGGTGTATTGGCGTGGTCTCTGCCGTAGCTTCGGTGTCTAAAGATGTAGACGCGGGTGCGTCGGTGTGGGATGATGTTTGCGCCTGGAAATGTGAGCTTCCTTGAGGGTACTCGACATTTGCGCCTTCTATGCCCTGCGTATGTGTCTCTGTTTCGACAGGGTCTTTCGCATGCATCGGCCTCGATGGAGTCATATCGTTTTTCTGTGATTCGTTCTCCTCTCGAGCCTGCTGGTTGGCTACCTCATTGTAGCTTTTCGACATCGTCAGAGGAGTATCGTTATCTCTCTTCCTCAAGATTTCGATAGTGTCCTCTTCGGACGGAGCAGTCGCACTTTCTAAGTGGCGCTCTGGGGTTTCCGAAGCAGTCGAGGCTGTACCGTTTGTCCTTTTCGCTAGCGATGCCTCTGGAGAAGCCGTATTTAGCTTCGATCTGGCGTCTATGGCCATGTGTGAGATATTCTCATCGGTCTGCTTTCCCCTATTCCGACGGCGTCGATTCGTGAGCGTCGTCGCGGCTCCCTGACCCTCCCCTATCTGGATTGAACGATCTCCGGATTGTTCCTGTCGAAGCCATTCGGTTTTCGACATTAGGGACAGGTCGTGGTATGTTGGTGGTAGGTTTTCGAGGTCCAAGACTTCTCGAATCTCTTGCGAAGGAGATATAATCTGACCTTCCACCTCACGGAGCCTTCGTTGCCATGCCTGCGTCAGCAGCTGTACAGTTTCCCTACCAGCATCCCTTCTGTAGTAAACCTGCAGCCTGCTACCATGCACTGGCTTTCGAAGGACCTTCTCGTCCTCTGTTTCGAGAACGTAGGTCCCGAACCATAGTTTCTTCAGCACCCGAAACGGTCCAAAGTAAGTTGGTTCGAATTTTTGTCGAGATTCGTTACGAAGGAGGACGAAGTCACCTTCTTCATAACCTGTGTCGGTTGCCTTTAGTCTTGCCGACCGCAGCTTTTTCGAATACAAGCCTCTCTCGACTAGAAGCTTGTTAGCTTCATGTCTTGCCGTGTGCAGTGTTTCCATTCTCGAAGCGAAATCAGCGTCCAAGTTACTCTTGTCGAAGTCTTCTTGATCACCCGTTAGTCGAGGTTCGATGCCATACACCAGTTTGTATGGGCTCATTCCTGTGACGGTATGGGATCGAATTCTAGTGGCGAATAGTGCTGAAGCCAGGTATTCGTCCCAAAGAATGACGGGTTGATCCATAAGCTGTTTCGTAAGGATTTCGCTAAGCATTCCGTTGAATCGTTCCACCTTTCCATTTGTTTGCGGATGGTAAGGGGTAGTTGTCCGATGTCTTGCCTTTACTCTCCCGAGATAGTATGCTATCATCTTCGAGTTGAGATTGGCTCCATTGTCCGATAGTAGTTCGCGAAAAGCACCATATTGACAATAGATTTCGAAGAGAAAATCAGCTACTACTTCGTCTGTAGCCTCTGGCACGGCCTTTGCAACGGGCCAGCCTGTCGAAAAGTCGATTGCCGTAAGGATCCATCGGTTGTGGTGTGGTGTCACTGGTAAGGGACCCACAAAATCGATGGCCCACTTTTCGAATGGACGAGAAGTACGTCTGACTTGGCTGTACGGCTCTTCTTGATGCTTTTTCGGACGTTGTGCGAGTTGACATTGTCGACAGCTTCGAGCGTACTCGGTAACATCTCGATTCATAGTTGGCCACCATCCTCGTACCTTAACAATTCCCTCGAGAGCAGGAGCGCTGTAGTGTCCATAATGTTGATGATAATACTCGATGAAATCCTTTCGAAATGGTGCAGCGATATAGGGAACAAAGTATCTATCCACTTTTCGATACAATCGCCCATCCTCAGCGAAGTATTGCTCGAGGTCTGGAGTATCTCGTAAGACTTCTTGCTGTCTAGCAGACAGAACTTCGTCTGGTCCTTTTTGTAGAGCATATCTCACTGCTTCTTCCCATTCGAGGTCAGTATCGAGATCGACAAGGGTTTCATGAGCCGCAATCTTTGTCTCAGCTTTCTCAGGCGAGGTCCAAGCTCGATTTGCTGGTCCCTTTCCTAGAAAGTCAGGACGACGCGAAATGGCATCAGGCACCACTGCGTCTGTTCCTTTTCGATATCGAATGTCCAAATCGAATTCTGAGAACTCATCAATCCATCGCGCTAAGCGTTTCGAAGGCGTACGAGTTGTGGTAAGGTATTTTAGGCTTTCATGATCGGTGACGACAACGGTTCGATGTCCATTCTGTATATACGCAATCCAGGTTCGAAGAGCATGCTTTATCGCTAGCAGTTCCTTTTCGTGAATAGGGTAGTTAAGTTCAGCCCCATTCAGCTTTCGACCGTCGTATGCGACTGGATGCAGTTTATTGTCTGGCCCGGTCTGCAGAAGAACGCAACCCAAAGCCCATTCGGAGCAGTCACTTTCGATACGAAAAGGCTTGGTTTCGTCGACTTGTTGCAAGACGGGTTTCGAAGCTAGAGCCCTTTTCAGTAGTTGGAAGGCATATTCGCAGCGAGCATTCCAACGAATAGGTCTATACTTCTTCTTTCGGAGTTCGACATCAGCTTCAACGAGCAAATCCGAGAGTGGAGCAGCGATCTTCGCGAAGTCCTTTAT